CGCGTTCCCGCAGGAATCGTGAAATATGTAAAAGGTGCGCGTAAAACCGGCGGCTGATCAAAATTCCAAACGTATGCGACGTTTCTACCGCGTACATGCCGGCATAAAGCGAGCTTAGAGGGTAAAACAAAAATCCATCCCCGCGGCCAGAAATATATATCTCTCTCTGGCCAGGCGACGACGTTCTCGCCCTTCCCGTGGATTTCGTAGCAGCTGTCCCAAACAGCGGAGTGATAAATTCGGGGTAAACGCATTAAATCCCGGCGTTTATTCGAAGTAACGATATAAGTGGGCCCGAAGAAACGATCGAAATCTAAATTGCCAGCGGTGAGAAATAGTCTTCGTCGACTTAGACTCGGTTGTAACTACCCCATTGTGGCTGCGCCGTAATGCTGATACGAGGCATCGATCTACTCGGAGATCGATAGATCTCTCGTTACCGCCGCTATAGACTTTCTTCGAATGCGTACTTTTAATACGATCTTTTATTACGGTCGACGTTTGGATGCTGGCCAATTCGCGAGAAACCTCGCTGATAGCGTTTGTCGCCGACTCCACGTCGACTGACTCCATTTCAATGCGTCAAAAACACTTACAATTAGAAGTGCTTCTTATTCGGCCAAAACAAAGTTTTTCCGTTTTTACATTATACAATTTTTAATAAAAGTTCGAATAATTGAGACTTGTAGAACCGTTTGAAAGGTGGAAAATTTATCGTAGTCGTAGTCGGCCGAATATTGAAATTTTTCTACCAAAGAGGGAAGGGTAGTTAATCGGAAACCAGATCAACACTGGAGCTTGTTCGAGGCTGGAATTCATTTTGGAAATTCGTCGATCCCATTCGAGAACTTTGATTAAATTCTATTTATGTTTCATATACGGCTACGTGGCAATTTTGAGGCTCGACGATGGTTTCAGTTCTAGCGGATCGAAAGATGAGTTTCTATCGAAATTCGATCTAGGGAACACGAGGTTAAAATTTCGTTGGCATTTTTATAGAGGGGAATGTGGAAAATTTGCAATTCCGATGGAAGCTTTCGGAAACGTGGGCCCGTGAAACACGATATATGAGGCATAGAACTCGCGAAACGTTCATGTAGGCGATACATGCGTGATGACAATCGTGAAACTTTGTAATATACGTAATATAGTGGCACTAACGTCTTGAAATCTGATAGAGGCGACTCCCGACTCGTGAAACTAAATACGAAAGATATCGGAGTCGTGAAATCGAATACAGTAGATTCAGAACGATAACAGGATCGAGAAACCCGATACTGGAAACACTACAATCGTGAAACCTGATACGGGTAACACCAACGGAAACTTATATTCGCGGACATGGGCTGATGAAATATGATAATGTAAGTGACACAATTTCGTGATACCTTACATAAGCTGCTCTCCAGGGTCGTGAAATCTGATCCAAGCGACTCCAAACATATGGGATATGATATCCACTACATTAGGATCGTGAGACTCGATACTAAGAACAGTGAAAAAGTATTATATAGACAGTGTTAAAGTCGTGAAACATAAAATGGTTGAGTCGAGACTAATAAAATGTGATACATGTAATCACAAACTCATGAATCATGATACAAGCAACCACAATTGTGTGAAGCATGATATTGGAAAGACGAAGGTCGTGAATACGAGTAGATTGCTTGTATTAAAGCTTGAATCGCATCAAGTATCAGCATCAGTAGACTACTTTAAGAGAAATGTCGAATTTGTACAGCTCCTTGGAACTTGATCGTTTTTCATTCAACCCTTAAGTGGTATCACATGTGTCCATCCACCTAAAAATGAAGCTTTATGAATTTCTGTTCCAAGTATCCTAAGTGTTCCATATTGGATATCATTTTATCGATAACATTATTTGTAAAACATTTACAAATTTAATTATTTACCCACATCTGAACAGTCAATGTGAAAATGTTTTATCTGTCAATTTTGTTGTGTTTTGATGTTGATTTCATAAGAAAGAAACTATCAAGGGTAAAAATAGAGTTGTTTAAAATATTTCGTGGAAATTCCAGGAATTCCAAAAGATTTGGAATTAGTTCCATCGTGTTCCATGAATCTAGAGTTAGTGAATTTAATATTGTCCACATTGAGCCTTATTGCTGATCTTTGTCAGGTCCCAGCTGCCAGCAATATTGACTTTCCAGCCGCTTAATTGTACGAGAGATTAATTCTACAAGCATGACGCCTATACAATGTACTAAACCACGAACCTTCGTCAGCGTTGGACAGTTTTCAGTATGTTTCTGTGTTTACGGGGCAAACTGTTGCAGTGGATATCACACGTAGGGTAACCGCATATAACATGGAGCTCCCGACTTTAAAAGTTTTTTTTTATCGTGGGGTAAATCCTCGGGTACATCCCAAACTCAGACCCTTAGGGTAGGGTTTGGGATAGTGCTAGACCCTTGCCGTATCAATGAGCCCTAAAAATTAGTAGTTCTTCATGGTATGGTCTATAACATTGTAGTAGATGTAAAGTTACTTTACAACATGTAACAGATTCGAAATAATTTTAAATAGAACGTTACACTTATCACAATTTCAATGATTTTTCAAAGAGATGCATTTTAAGGAACGCGTTCTGTAAACTATTTACAGGAAATAAAATTTTGAAACAAAATCATAACTTTAGAAGCTTCTCTAGAAAATATCCAACGAACTTTCATCCTGATTTAGAATTTTCCACGGTTTGGTTTCTTACAAAAAAGCTTCTTCCAGCTACACTTTATCGAATCCACGTCGAGGATGAACATTTTATCTAATTATTGAATCTTTATCGTAAAAATTTCACGCGAAAACTGTTCATAGCGAAACTTCCACAGGAAGAATCGATCGAATTAAATAAAAATTATCGCTGCCGAGTCTCGAATGAATCAGAATAGGTGGGAACGTCGCCTCGAGCCTCGTAAACAGGATAAAATAAAATTTGTATTGCACGGATATTCCTATCAGAAGTCAGGAAATTCGTGGTACCGCGCTTCCACTCGAGGGAAGTAGAAAATCGCGTGTTGGATCAGACACGACGATGTTACTGCAGTACGGTGAATTTAGTAGTATGGATCCTTGTTTAGTCAGACAGTAAATACAACTGAACGACATGACAGTCCAATTGCCTCATAACAGTTCTTAGAAAAATATATAAAAAGGGAACTGAATGTTTCCTGAAAACAGTGATCAGCTCAATCCATGATCGTACATTATTTTAAAACGGTACATTTCCAAATACCAGAGATTCCAGAAGCACACGTTTCTTTTGATTATTTCACGCAGTAGCTTGGGTGAAAGAATCCGTTAATGCGCGTTCACGTATGAAAGGTACTCGTAATCTCTCGAGTCACGTTTAAATTGCCGTTTGATTCGTCAGATTTCCCCGAAAGTTGCATTAGAAGAGAAGTTTGTCTTCCGCGCGGAACGAGTTCGACAGCCGATTTTTTTTGTTTTAATTAAACTGTCCACCGATCAATCACCCTTTTGGAAACGATCCATCGTTCCTCCGACGAATCGTCATCGATGACGTAATCTCATTCAACGGGCAAGAATGCGTTCGACTAGAACTAACTAGAGACGCGTTTTAGAAAGAGCGAACGCGAAGATGTGGAAATAATCAGAACGGAAATAAAACGACTTCGTTTGCGCCGCTGAATTTCGACGCCCTTTGAAAACTGAACGCCTTTGCAGAACAACCGTGCCTCGAAAGGATTTCACTGTGCTCTTTTGACGGCGGTCATAAACTATTCAGTCCCTCCGGCCTCGCGATGACAGTCGCCGTGTGCCAGCAACATTTGCAACTCACAGGACGAAACAGTAAATTATTTCTGGACGGGAGCATCAAAGCTTCGGCTGCTCGTCCACCCTTGCCGCTCCCTTTTGGAATAGCACCAGCCGAGAATGGAGACGACGTCCAGGGATTAACCTGAAACGGATTATAGCACTTTCTAAATACATTTCTGTGAATTTATAAAAATTACACGAGCTCAATTTAAATACAGTACCGGACAAAATTCCGAATATTTTTGTTGATTTACGAACTTCTTGCTTCGCGAAGTGCCCACAAACACAACTAATACTCTGAAACATGAAAAAAAATAATTGTTAGCTTAACAATATATAAGGAATTAAAATGCAAAAAATTGTTCGCGTTTGGAGACCTCGAAGTAGACTATTCGATAAAAGAATAATTTCTTTGGCAGAGTTATTTAAAAAACGTGTCGAAAATGAATGACTTAAGGAAACAATAATTAGACAGGACAGGAAGATCAGTAGAGTGCCTTAATAATACATAAACAATTAATTTTCTCTGTGCACAATTACGTCTTTGACAATCATTCTCCTTGCGACACAATTTATGAGCGACGTGGCACACTTAACCAACTGATTAAACTAGTTTTGACTTGATATTGTTCGTAGTTGAACAAGATTTTGGGTAACTGGATTTCTAGACGAAGTTAAGTTTTAGCCGAACAAGACGGTAACGTAATCTCGGCGTAACGTAAGCTTCGATAAGCTGTAATGAATGGATTACATTTTCAGATATGAAATGCGACGATGAATCCGTTCAGCAATATAACTTTCTGTTTTTTATCGAAATACACGACTCGTTTGACATAACATTTTACATTTAAATCGGAATTTTGGTGAAACATGGATTGGACAAGGCGAACTACTTCCATGACCTACACGATCCCCCGATTTAAATCCTCTTAATTATTAATTAACACAGACGAGTAAATATCAAGCTGTTTGAAACGTATGTGAAAATCACAGAAGACATGAAAAATCTTTTGTAAACGTTGACAGAGAAAATAGCAAGATAAATCCATCGATTCTCTTGCAAGTAGAAAATTGTTTGTAAGGATTTTATTATCTTGTTTAACGAGTACTTTCTCACATGCTTGCCTTCATGCTCATCCTGATCGCCAACATTCATCGGTGATTGCCAACTAACCGTGAATGATGAAATTATGTTTCAGTGTGGCGGTCAGAGTGGTGTCTGGATAGCAAGCGTGATCATACTGTCAATTGGAAGCTGGGTTGGCAAAGTTGGGCCACGACCAGCCGATGGCGAGACAGCACAACTGACGTCGCCGAGGGAAAGGTTGGAAACCGTGCGTCAGGTTCTTTCCGAGGTGCCTTTGATCGACGGGCACAATGACTTACCCTGGAACATTAGAAACTTCGTCCACAATCAGCTGGCTGAGTTCGACTTCGACAAGGATCTACGACAGGTCGCGCCTTGGAGCAAGAGCGCGTGGAGTCAGACCGACTTGGTCAGACTTCGTCAAGGCATGGTCGGCGGTCAGGTAATTATAACTTTGTATCCGTTGTTATTAAACTTTGGATGTTCATGCAAATGCTTTTATAGAAACCTGATAGAAAACTGGAACTTACGTTGAAATATGTTTATATCATTAGGAGGGCTAAAAAATGTATTTTTTACAGTGGAAACTCGTTTATCCAAACCGATTTAGAGACAGTACAGTTCAGTTAATAGAGGTCCTCAAGCATCCCCATAATCTTTCTTTATTATTAGATCGTCCCATAAGTTCGTGTCGAGTTTTGTAATACAACGAATAAACATTGCTTTTTAAATTTTCTATATTGTGATTTCTTGATCAGTTTAATTGATAATAATTCGTAAAGTTGAAGTTACGTAAAACGTAAGTAAATTCTTTATTTTTTATATTAAATAAAACCTAACTGGAAATTATTTAATAACTAAATTTCGAAATAAACGTAGAAGACAGCATAAATTATAATAGTTGTTATGTCTATCGAATAGAGGATGAAATGCCCTTTAAAATGAGTGGTCGTACAAGCTGATAACTTATTTAGTTCCGGAGATATAAGGGTTCGAAGCGTTTGTTTACTTCTCGAGGTCAATGAACTTTCACTCGATCACGCGCGAGAGAGAGAGGTCCGACTCGTTAGACGGAGACAGTGACAATCGAATTAAAAAAATTACCCCTTTACATAAATTACGATATTTCCAAAACGAAAAGTCGTATCGACATAAACAAAAACCCATTTCAAAGAGGAAGCTTTCTCACTTCTAATTATGCAGAAAACATGAGTAGTTTCGGAACTGTACGCATGTAAAGTTTGCGTACTATACCGGAATATCGTCATTCATGATTTTTGTCTCATTTTGATCTGAATTATCTGTTAAGTCGAATAATCGACTGTCGTATTAATAGATTCGTCATCAAAGTTTACCAACCGTTGAAGTATACTTTCCTTGTCTCGTTTTAAACCTTCCACTTATTCTTCGAGCATGGTGTATATATACACACTCGCGCACACGTAAGTGTATACATGTATTTTTATCCATGGACGTGCTCGCACGCTTATGTAACCGGCGGGTTAAGGAAAATTAAAGGAGAAATATTTTCATGGCACGTTCGCGCATATTTCACGCGAAAGTTGAAAAATTACATAAAACGTAAAGTAAAGAACAAAATAATAGAACTGCCGGGCAAAGCTAGCCACTCGTGAAATTCACTTAGCTTTTTATTTAGCCAACTATGAATTTAGGAATATCTTTGTGGCTGTACGCAATTTCTCGAAAGTGACTGGCACAAAGAGCTTCCCGAACTTCCATGCTAGCCACGCGTACAAATTAAATGCAAAAAGAGAACGGAGTTTTTGTGAAACGAACAGAGAAATGAACGGAACTCGTACCGCCCTTTGCTTTCAATCTACAAGGGAAAAATTCGATAATTTCGTTCATCTTTCATATCGGTTTCGCGGGTGAGCCACTTTTTTACTGTTACGTACAGGGAGATTCTAAAAACTGGGATAAACCGTAGCTCATTTTATTTGTTTTCTAAAATTATCGTAAATAACGTTAATTCACTTTTAGTTTTATGTTAAATGTTTATTTTTTGTGTTTCGAAATTGAATCGTCGGATGCTATTTTTGTTTTGTTTTTAAGAACGTTATTTTAATATGCAGCTTATGGTAGTGTTAATCGTTACTGATAGTGACTAGATTTGTCAAATTTTTGAATTTACTATTAAAAAAACAGATGTATCCACCGTCTCTTTTGATACAATTTCTAATATTGCAACACGAATAGGTAAATTTAAAAAGACCTGGAATGTAAAAACAATGCAACAAGGCCCGTCCTATTCTACAAATGAAAATGCACTTTGTTGTACCGTTACGATCTGCGTAACATCGCCAGCTATAAGTTACAGCAAATTCTCATGCAGGCGATTATTTATAGATGCTACGTGATGCCATATTTGCGGCACGGTAAATCATAAACGCAGACCGCGATCATAAAATTTGTCAGGGTTCCACGGGATGAAATAATGCGTAATAAATTCACCAGCAATAATGGACACCGATCTTATTAAACTGCAGTAACGAACCAAAATTCGAGCACAGTGAGTATCGTTTGGTGATTCTCATCGATCTCCCGGCGATTTAATTGGAAATACAGACTGTATTTAACGAGCCAATCAATATTATAGTATAATAAGGTAGATTGAAAAATGTCGTGAAACATGATCCTCGACAAAAAGTATGCAATTCAACGGACACATTACAAAAGTTTGAGTACAATAGCACTGTCTGTACGGAGGGAAGAGAATGTACAGAACTGAAAACAGGGGCATTCACAACAATTTATTAATCAATTTTTATCTCTTAATTTAACACCTGAAATTGTTAACAGGCTCATTCAATTGGAAAACCATCTACCACAAACCATGTTTGTAGTAATTCGATATAGTGCATCCTTTCAATTACGAACAAATAAAATATATTTAATAGACAGATCGTGGATTGTTTAAATATAGTATTCAAAATAATGTGGCAATAAAGCCACTTAGAAGGCAATTTCTATGATCTTAATGCCTCGTTTAGTTACTTCACTGAGCAATGAACCTCATTTTTACTGTATCATATACAACATTCCTTGTACACATAATTATGGGAGTTTTCTAATCTAAACGTCAATTTTTTATTTGGAATTAAAAACAAAGCAAAATTATGACACTCTTATATCACATGGTTCTGATGTGTACCTCAGAAATGTACACAATTCTTTGCATATAAAAATACATACAATAATTCTTGAAGAAATAGGTGTTTGAATGGAACCCCTACACAAAGGTTCATCGTACGTTGCATGCCCATAACATTTTTATTTTTGTAAATCCCGTAATATATTTCGAAAAAGTGAAATGAAAAGATCAGTTTATTGAAACTTCTGGGCCAGGATACCTCCTTAAAGAATCGCGTCGATGTCGTCGGAAGAGGTGATCCGCGCGACGCAATGCCGGGAAAACGCACAATGGGGGAAATGAAAGGGTGTAACGCGCGGCCAGGAAGAAAATGGCGAGGTATCCGCAACGCGAAAAGAAACAGGGGAAAAAGAAACTCCGGGGAACCGGTAACGAGCTTGCGGTCGAAAGCGAGGAGAAGTATCGAGCGTGGTCGTGTTTGTGAAACGTAATATTGGGCCGTTTCTGTTTCGATCCTGTACATCGTCGCGACGCTGCGCGTCGTTTCATTGCGCGCGCCGACCCGCCCTGTTACGCGATCGCCTTTATAAAGAAAAGGAACTTTTTCTGTGTCACCTTGTTGCCCAGTTATCTTTCCTGATATTACGACTTTCCGGGATATTCGCTCGGCTGAGCCAAGAAATGGGACAGAGATCCGAAACCACGGGTTTCGAGCACCGAATATTGGATTGGCGAGAGATGGCCTCGAGTTTTAGAGTGCACAGAAGGTTGTAGCTCTCGCGAAGTTTACGGAACCCGAGCTATTGTCACAAAGCGTAAACAAATTGGGGGTGCAAACGATTTCAATGTATTCAGGATGGTCCCCTCAAGACTGTTTCCACCTTTACATGGTCCTGCGGAGGATCCAACTTTTGTATCCCCTCCGTAGCAGACTCTATTTACATATTGAGGACCAGTAACGAGAATTCTCGTTTCTGTAAGACATACGATGATGACCAGAAACGAAATTTCTCGTTATTCGTTTATTTAACGGAGGGGGTGATCCTTTACATATGATTACTGAACTGTGAATCTTTATGCAAATTCATATTTTTATTTATAGAATTAACGAAATGGTAGCTCTGTAGAGGGTTGTTTTACCCCCTAAATATAATAATTCGTACCTTAATTTAAGTATGTCTTATGTTTTGAGAATTAAAATTTACCATAAATAATACATAAACATCCACAATCTAATGATTACAAAGAAAGAGAAATCAACACGCTTTTTAAGTTTGTTTGCTCGACATGTGATCTTTTAATTAACCGACGAATGATCGCAAGTACTTTGTTCGCAGTTTTGGGCTGCCTACGTGCCTTGCGAGTCTCAGCATCTCAACGCGGTCCAGCTGACTTTGGAGCAAGTGGACCTCATTAAGAGGCTCATAGAAAAGTACTCACAACACATGCAGTTCGCTGTATCTTCGAGGGGTGAGTTCTTTTCTTTATTTCTTGTTTTTTTTTGTACGCGGAACAGCGCGTACGAAAAGCTCCCATTAAGTACCAGCTCGTAAATTCCGACGGAACGCAAAACTTTGCTTGCTCGCCGCAACGCGCAATCCGGTTCGATAGTCGGCCGTAATTCTTCTCGATTCAACGAAACAACGATGCTGCAACTGAATTTTCGTGCTCTCAGAACTGCGTTACGATGTTTCGCGAAGCTACAACGGTTTACGAAACGTCGATTAAAAATATAGACACGGCGAACATTCGGTTCGAGTTCTCTGTGTGTAAAACATTTGATGGATGAAGTAAAACTGAAACCGGTAAAAATAGTACAAAATGTACAATAACATGTTTTAATTTGAAATGTAGAGAGTTGGTGAACATAAATAAAGAAAATGAATTTTAAGACAACAAATGACTGTAGAAATAATTGTTAAAAAAAGGAGATAGGGAGAAAAGATACATATTTCTATTAAGGGATTTCTCGAGGAGTTGAAAGAAATATCTGATAGATGAGTGACTTGAAACATACTTGACAGGATTGTTTTTGTAAATTGGTGACAATTGATTTCCAGAAATCCTGGAGGCTCACGAAAAGGGCAGAATAGCATCCCTGATCGGAGTGGAGGGTGGACATAGCCTAGGAAGTAGTTTAGCCGTTTTAAGGACACTGTATCACTTGGGTGTACGGTATCTCACGCTCACGCACACTTGTAACACGCCATGGGCGAAAAGTTCGTCGGTGGAGGACGACGACGAGGACGGTGAGTATCATGAGACGATAAAATTACTATTTTTTCACCCTAACGATTCGTATTCAAGGTGTCAGACAATTTTTATAATTCATTTTCGCCTTTTAGATATTATTTAATGATGTGTTATAAACGTGATGTGACTTTTTTTATATTTTATTATATGATTACCCTTTAAACAATTAATTTCCTATTGTTCAGGATTCATGAATTACGAAGAAAAATATTTTATTCTGACGTACAGATCATACTGTTTGTTAAAAATATTTGTAGGATTAACGGGGAGAGTTATATTTGGAACAAATAAGAAATAATGTAATTACAAGAATAAAGAATTTAAATCACACTGAACGCAAATTTTTTAACAGAAATTGCGTCTGTTCATCAAGACTGCTTATTCCCTAATGAAATTGTCTCGCTGTCCCCAGTTGCCAATTCCTAATTGTAATTACACAATGAACAAAACACGTTGGACTCTTTTACGCATAAATTGACATTGAATAAAATTACAGCGCGACAGAAATTTACAGTACGAATCTCCTGCATATTCATTCACGGCATATTTATAATTAAATTAAGCATTTCTCTGTCGAGGATATTATTAAAGAAACGTCTGATAAAAATTGTAGGCCCAGAGACCTTATATTATTTAATCATCCGGAAGACAATATGACTCCGGACGTTGACGCTGTGAAAGAATTAATTGAATGCATCCAACCTGGCTCCTGTGATTTCAGTATAACCACCCGTCCATCCGTAACAATCGTATCGCTTAATATGCCAATATCGATCCTAAGAAACCGATTTAAATACAATGGACCAATATAAGGATTCGATAAAACCAATCACCTATACAACGGTCATATTTGAATAACCTGAGGGATGAACTTAGGAGGTTAAACGATCCTATAAGGACCATTCGATACGTACTAGAAATTCCTCGAATTGTATCTACATCACAAAAAAACAAAAAAACGTATAGTTAACCCGTTAGTGTACTGTCAAAACATAAGAGGCGTACCAAACTTATTTAGGACTAACATAACAATCTCAACAGGTCGTTTTGATATTATTATTCTAAATGAAATATGGCTACATTTTAGTACTGTCTATCGATGAATAATAATATTTTTTCCGAAAGGAAGAGGAGTTCTTATTGCTATTAAAGACTCTTTCCAACATCCAAATCAACTGTTCCATCTTCTTTTCAAACAATTCGATTTTTGTTCTTTCAAATAAAATATATTTCTTCGTAAATGGCCTTCGGGTAAAATGAAATATTTCTAAAAATTTCGGATAAAAAATGGCACTGAAATTAAATTTTAAATTTAAAAAAAATCAATGAGCTTGAACTATCCCTGTTAGAAACGTTTCTTTCTATCTTTTCCAAGCGTAAAAGTTACTCGTATGGTCTATTTGAAGTGGCACCGTTTGGTATTTCGCTCTGTAACCACCATAGACCAGAGACGAAATAACTGTCGAAACTGTTGTTTTGTGAACGTTCGAGATCGTTAAGAAACCCGTACTTTACCGTACTGAGAAACGGTAAACGTTCCAGCGGTGAATATGGACGAAGAAAGTAAGTATCCCCTTTTGTTTTAGAAGGCGGTCTGACGGCGTTCGGGAAAGCGGTGGTCCAGGAAATGAATAGGCTCGGAATGCTGATAGACCTTAGTCACACAGCGAGGGCTACCATGAGGGACGCTTTAAGGGCCAGCAGAGCGCCCCTCATTTTTTCTCACTCATCGGCCTTTGCTATTTGCAATTCCTCGAGAAACGTTCCCGACGACATTCTAAAGCAGTTGGTACGTTACGAGCACACCGATCATGAGTTTTTAATTTTCATCGACCCAAGCATTAACCCCTCAGCGATCAGATATTTTTCAAATTCACAGTCAGAGTCTTTGAAATGTTCAAATACGTAATTCAACCCGAGACGAAGCTCATTTTTTCAAACTAAATCTAGTATTTACCACTACTAAATCAAGTAGCTTGAATATTCGATCAAACTTAAGAAAATACCAGCTAGTATATAGCGAAAAATTGTTTTCTACTGTACGAAATATTATAACAGTCTAAATAGATTTCTATTATCTGAACATGTCGAGCAGTTTCCTTTCTGCAAAAATAAAAATGTAAATTTATGATATTTGTTGATAAAAATTGTTTATAGAAAATGTTAGAATAACTATAATATAATATTTTTTTCTTTCCTTTATGCAACAGAAATTGTGTTCCAGAATCCTCTTATTCTGAATTTATAGAAATTGAAAATTTTTAATCATTCTGCAACTTTCATTAACTTGCCAGTATTCGAATATCAAACCATCGCAAGTTGAAATAAATAGATATTTTGTCTTATTTCTAGAGGAGACTATTCTATATCAAAAATAGAGGATCAATTAAATGTTCACAGAGGGAAGAAATATTTGTGTTTAATGGATTTAAAGAATGACTTCTTTCATATTGACATGTTTGAAGATTCTATTAAGTATACCATTTGATATAAAGACCTATAGAAGGTAGGATGATACAACAAAGATGGATCTCAATGATCTCGATGGTGAAATTAAGCGAAATTGCCAGATATAACCACATTTCCACAAAAATAATTACATGATAAAATTATCGAGAGCATGCTAATCCTCACTTCAGATAATTAAACTTGATAGGAAGACATTCTGAAAGTACACTAACGGGCAGATGACGCGTTTTTTTAATTTTGAGAAATCGAAACAATGTATCGAATAGTTTTTGTACTGTCGTTCATTGCACTTAGTTTGGATCTTAATTTATCCTTATCGGTGGGCCCTTGATATTTCTTATGTTTTAGCAATGTCGAAGGAAGATTTGGGGATTTGAAAGTAAAGCAAATTGACCAAATCTTCTGATAGATATTTCCCAGTTATTGTCCCCATGATGCATGATGTCAAAAATATCTTTAACATTCGACAGATCGAAAGAAATAGCGTTCTCCTCTAAGTTAAACAAAATATGTTTGATCATATGTTTCATTCGACGATTTCTTCCATGGCATATTTCTCAAGATATTTTAGTTGACTCAAATCTATCCACTCTATCCTTTATGCTATTTAGAGTACAGTTGAAGAGCTCAATGCTCGAGTGAAAAACTTGTTATTTATTTTCAAATTTGTCTTGAGGCAAGCCTATCCAGTTTCGAATCAAGGAAATTTAAATTTGTCCAGCAAGTCCATACTAACAGTAGACATATGTCAAAGTGGCTGTATCAATCAATTCACTGTAGCTCTGTAACTTGCCTTTTTGTCATTGCATTAAACAAGATAATCCTGGATGAGCTAACATTCCAACAAATATGCCACGCAACTAGATTTGCAACATGGCTCCCAGATTCTAGAATAGAACGAATAACGTTTGGATGACCGATCGAAAACAGTCTCGAAATCCATTCGCGTGGTAAATTACTCGGGGGAAACAGGATATAATTGTTGAAGACACTGCCCGGAAAGCGAGACGCGCGATTAAGACGAAATGTGGTTAAGCGAGAACATTGCAGCGGATTCAATGGAAGAACGTACCGCAGTAGCTTGCGGTCGGAAACTGTGGTTAACAGGAGGTGTGGTTAATGTCTGGAGCTTCGATCGGACGAAAACTGATTCGCTTTTCCATCAATCATCCTACCACGATATTACTTTACCATCTACGGTTCTGCCTAGTGTAATTCGCGAACGTGAAATATCAATATTCATCAGTTTAGCCGCCTCTGGATAGAAATACCATTTAGAAAGTTTGAACGGATTCGGATTCGTAAATCGAATGTTCTTTTATTTACAGGCCGATAACGGTGGACTGGTGATGGTGACGTTTTATAACTATTTCGTGAAGTGTGGCTCACAGGCAACCGTCTCCGACGTCGCCGAACATATTTACTATATTAGAAACCTAATTGGCGTGGACCACATCGGCGTCGGTGGCGACTTCGATGGTATCAACAAGTACGTATAATAATAATATTTTTCATAAATATATTGCATTCATTAAATAATTAAATTTACAAGGAAAGTTGAACGATGATAAAGCTTGGAAAACTGAAGATAACGATACCTGGTTTTTTAGTATATTTATATTATAGTTCGTGAGATAATTAATGTTAACATTCTGGTTGCAAGATTCCCTCTTGCAGTGTTCATTGGTTTCTAAGAAAATAGTTTTGTAACACTGAATTTGAGTAACATGGTATACTGAAGTGACTATGGATTTTCGATCACAAATACTGTTTATGAGTATAACTTATACTGGAAGTAGCTGTTTCCAACACCCACTAAATGTTTGATAAATACTCCTGAAAATTGCTAAAAAATTATTCACTGCCTAGAGTCAACGTTTATTTAACTGATGATTTATACTGTTGAAAGTAAATGGAAGATGATTATTTCAGCCTGCAACGTCCAATTCCTTGGAAAAAGCTATTTCCAGAACGTTTGTTATTAAATTCGGTCGATGTTGTACTTGACGCAAGGATATAATCGATTTTGTTGACAGAACACCCCGGGGTCTCGAGGATGTCTCGAAGTATCCAGAATTGTTCGCCGAACTCCTTCGAAGTGGAAAATGGAACGTGATCGACTTAAAGAAAGTCGCCGGTCTAAATTTGCTGAGGGTTCTCCGGCAGGTTAGAAACTGCTCAAGTATCAACTAGGACCTTTGTGCCGCATTATTACGTCACGAGTGTCGTATTTATATCCCTACGAGGAAAAAGAACTTAGCCAATTTTTAGAAGAATGTTGTAAAAAATTCGATTCTTTCTCTGGTCAACAATACAAATTTGAAATTTATTTTTTATAAAATGGTAAATAAAACTCGTAGAAATACTATAGAACAGGTCCCATTTAATAGTCTATGTTGAAGTTTTAATATCGCCAGAATCCACGTGTTACAGTAGACTCTTTAGTTTGGTCCAGTGTAGTAGAAAATTAAAGCAACCCAGTTGAAGTTTTTGGAGATGATTAATTAAAAAAATTGAATTTTAGGTAGAACGCGTGAGGGACGATATGAGAACTGCCGGAGTAACGCCATCGGAAGAGTATCTCCAGGATTCCCCTGACACGATCGGCAGCTGTGCACTCGATATCAATTCCGTGCAAAGAGTCATGGAGGTTTGATCGTACTATCGGTTGTCTCTGTTTCTCGATGGCGTGTAAACTACTTCTTCGCGATCTCCCTGCCGTCCTATTCTCGACAACGGATGTAACCACGTCGGAGTCAGGGAAATCCATGCGCGATCAGAAGGATAGGGCTTTCTGTTGCTTGATTCTTACGCCCCTCCCTCTCCCCGACCGCACAGTCTGACCCTATTAGATGCTCAATCAAAGTAACGTTAAAATGAAAACCTACCTCGAACGAAGTCTCGCGAATAAGACACACGGATTCGTATTTCTAATTTGCTCGACAGTAGGTTTTATTGTCCAGAGCACAGGCAGAATTATTTTTTAACGAACCTTTGAAGATGGACGTACTGGTGTCACTCGTAATTGTTCGAACGACTCTACACGTCAAGAACAAAAAGATTTTTTTATGCAATATTAGGCTGTAACAGGTTTTCCAAGTTTTGCAGGAGAAGGTTTAATTTTTCTCTACAGAGATCAAAGAATGGCAAATTTTGACGAATGTGTGACAATGATATTAATATTAATATCAGTTCCCCCGCTAGTAGTAAGAAAAACAACTATTTTTTGGTCTACTATAATAACATTCCATTGAAAAAATTAGAGGGATTTTTTAATAATTCCACAGAAAATAGTCTGTAACAATTTAAATGAAAGACCGTGTATAATTCTTTCAAGAATAATCCTAAACTGAAGGAAAATGAGAATTCCTTATCGTTCAAACAATTACAAGCGGTACTGTAATTTATGAAGAAAATAGTTTTTACAGAGAACCGACATTAAACGTTCCATTATTTCTTATGGCGTATATGCTTTTCGAGCAAGTTTGAAAGCACTATTTTAAAAATTGTATTCCAGAAGTAATAATTCCGATAAAGATTTTCTTTCGCGCTAGAAGCGACAAATTCTGTGAGATCTTATATCATGGTATTAATTAATTTCTAACCTACTTTTTGTAAAAAGTATCTGGTCGAATATCGGCCAGCGATACGAACAATCATGCATAGTTTAAGACTTGATATCGAACGAAGAGAAACGATTGCGACAATATAGAGGTCTTTTCTAAAACGGTGACGTTCTTGTATTTCAAGAAAAGAATATTGTGTGTGAACCTGGCTGTGTATCTTCGTATGTCTCCCCCCTCCCCCTTTCTTCAGTGCACCAAAGAAAACATGTGCACTTTAGCGTCGAAATTCGAGGAATCAGAGTGAGCATCTATTATAACGCATTATCGAATGGATCGTTAGTTTATCTGAAAAAATCATTGTAATCGTTATTGAAAAGAAAAAGCTTCGGAAGAAAAACATATCGGACTTGATAAAGGATATATTCGCAAAATGGCAGACTTCTGTTTGTAAGCGCTATGAAACAAAAAAATCGACCGCAAGAGAAATCTCTAACTGGTTAGGACTACACGCATACCATCGATTTTTCGTTGACTAAACTATTAAATCCAGCGTTTCCCAAACCTCACTCGCAAAGACACCTCAACGAAAGTTTGTTATCTATTCGTTGAAGTAGAATTAAATTATTAATTTAAAATAATATATTTACATATGTATGGTTTGAAAATTCGTATTTAAATATTGACGCATATGGAGATTCCTGGGCAGGGCAGAATTAACATTAAACCTACCCACACTTTATGTACACCCTGCCCACCATGACTTTTTCAATTAAATAAACAATTTATAATTCAATTTTATCGCACAACAATTGAATAATCAATGGAAATTGCTAAAATTTCTTTGGACGAAGAGAGTCAAAGCAAATTGCAAAATAAACATAGAAGACAGAATAAATAATTATAGTTTATATGTTCATTGGATAGAGGATGAAAATATTTTTATTTACATCGAAAACTAATCAGAATTTGATACCAAATTTTGCCCAGGTTTTTTAAAAGAAATATAAATCGTGCAACCGGTTAGATGATCGGTCGTGGCAGATTTAGTGTTAAGAATTTTGAGGCCCATGGTTGAGACATGTTTTATTTCTCTTTTAATATGAAAAATGGGATGATAATTTGTAAATATTTTTAAAAGAGGAATCGTTGTCTTTAAAAATTGTCTCATCCTGCTTTTGTCTGTAAATGATTTATATGAAGAAATCAAGATTTAAAAAATGATTATCATTATCAAATCGAAAGTACTTTTTTTGTTAACTATTCCTAAATATTTATTTTAGTATTTGAAGACATGAGGCCTCTAGGAGAATTGGATCCTCCAGTAGCATCCTCTAACATCCCCCTTAATCCGTGCCTGAGTCGATGTGGTAAAAGTCACAGTAAAGCCTATAACAAGTCCTTGACTTACACAATTAATTTGTCTTAAAGCTTTCCATGCAAGCGAAATTGTATAAATACGATTTTTTATAGGAAGAAAGAAATACTACTCTCATGTTAAAAAGAATATTGTACCATAAATCAGTGAGCGAGAAATCTATTTATATTTTCATCTTATTTTGGCCTGTGGTATCACCTCCTAAAATATTTACCAACATCAGGGCAAAGCAAAATGTTATTATTATGAAAATATATTTATATTTTATCGATCTATTTTAGTTTTTGCTATGCTTTCCTTTCTGTTACTTACTCCCACTTATCGTAGTGACTAAATTGGCCAATACACAAAAAAAAGGACAAATTGTTGTGTACCCACGTCTCTTACAATATCGACTATACTCTGTCAAGCGACAAAAAGTTAATAGTATGCGCCCAACCGGAAAGTCAGTTGCTCACTAGGAATAAACGTCACTGATATCATCAAAACATGCGTGTACAGAGATGAGCAAAATATATTTAAAAAAAAGTATTCGAATGACGAATACTTTACTAATTTGTATTCGGTTGGTTGTTGGATGCATAAAAATACTTTTATTCAGCTTCACCATTTTCGAATAAATAATATAAAAATATCTTGCAATTGCCTAGTCAAATTGCCTACGAAATTTCTTAATAATTTTAAAAATATCTAAATTTCCGAAAAATGTATATACAATTTATATTATTTTAAATTTATTTAATCGTCTATAAATAATTTAATAAGTACACATACTATCTATACAAGACTTCGATTAATAATATATTTTTGTATTTGTCAATGATGAATATAATTATTCTTTATTAATCAAATACAAGTGAATGTCAATATTCGATCAAGAATACAATGTGTCAGATTGTTCGTCACTTGAAAAAAAAAATCATTCGAACGTGTTTATCTCTGTGTGCGTGTTTCTCGAACCGTTATACCGGGTGTAAATCTATCACGTGTACGCACCCAAATTTTCCTCAACGAAGTATCGTCTAAAATCTTCGACGGACGTCAGAGATTGCCGGAGTTAATCGCGATTGGTTCAAAACGGAATTTTCTGACGAAAATTCGATCCCCCCGCGATCTCTGCGTGTCTCCGTTCACCTATCTGTGTCTCGTGTGCACTTATTACGTGATCCGTGCGAGTTAAATCTTCAGAAAGAATTAAAGAGTATTATTACAATGGAACAGGGATGAAAGACGAAGCCAACTCGCACGGATTATACCTGACTCCCATGTACGGAGTGGATAAAAAAAAAAACTTTAGAATATCAAAAATTCCGTTGTACCTTCGCAGTGGATTCTATGAATAAATGTTTCTATTGTATACTTCTCATTATTTGTTTCCTTCTTTTAGTACAGTGGTCCGCTGACTTGAAGTCCCGCGAGACGGCACAGGGGCAAGGGGAGTCGGACCGCCCATTTATCTGTCTCGCTCCCTTGCTCTCAGGCAGTCCACATGTGTGTGTAACTGCCGCGACGAATAGCGAGCTAGAGACCAATGTGTGCGTGGGAATACGTGTGCCCCTTCTACTTCTCCCGCATTCCTTCCGCGGGACTTCAAGTGAGCGGAGGACAGTACATTCGTCAGAAGAGGTGTACCCATTCGAGTACATGATCACATTATGTAAAGAAAAAGCTAACAATTACACCTTTGATCGTGGAGAGAAAGAATGAATTGGACTGTTCGTGACGCTTGATTACGAAAGGTGTTTCATCTTCACTGTATCTAGTTTAAGATCTCGTACTTCTGAATATTAAATAATATTATTTTTATGACTGAATCTATGAACTCAACAGCAATCAACAGTGGCCTGTTTTTTGTTATTTTCCAATCGAACAGCAAGCAGAGAAGTTTATACAGTATAGTAAAACTGTTTTTCCTTTCACGACGCGTTTCTTAAGTTACCAACTTCAAACCGGACAACGGAAATTATAACAATGTTTATCGTAAATTTAAATGCTAATAATCGTTAAAATAATAACACGTATGGCTTCTGATTTTATCGACGAAGAATCCGTTACAGAAGATTACAACGACTTCGACATTATAATAATAGGAGCTGGTTTGGCTGGTCTCACTTGCGCGTACAATATTCTAAAGAGAAGTGCTGGGTTAGAAGTATTAATCATCGAAGCAAATAGTAATTACTGTTCTAGATAAGGAATCGTCGTCAACTGAGAACTAAGAAATTTAGATTTTCTTATGTCGATTAATGGAAAATTGAATTATGTATATTATAATGCAGTAATGCATTCGTCTATAAGGAAGTTAATGTATGTTCCTGAAAATAGAAGAGGTTGGAGGACGGATTCTAAAAGACTATAGCGATACTTTTCACGTCAATTCCGTGCAAAAGCATGTGACCAGCTTGATAAAAGCATTCCATATAAAGACTGAACGTGGACGTAATATCGATGGGAAGGAAACGATATTGTACACGAAATATGGACCTTTGCAAAATTTGCCTGGATACAATGGCGCAGAAGTTTACAATTTCCTTCAAACGGTAACACAAATTAACTTCTTACGTCAGTATAAAAAATTACAAAAAAATATTAGTCCCTCTTTAATAATATAGTAATACATTAAAGATATTTATTACAGTCTATTTTTTAGATGGAAGAAAATGCATTGGATCCAAAATTTAGTAATTATACTTCTCACGAGAAAGCAGCACAGCTTGCAGAAACGAGCGTTGAACAGTTATTGCGTAGAATTATTTATCTTCCTTATTCGCGTACATTGTGTCGAGCATTTATTTGCAGCACGTGTGGTAAATTAATAATGAATAGAAATATTGAAAATAATTGTTAGCGACATAAAATAAATATATTTAGTATATTATTTGGGACAGCTATGAGAAATCTAAATAATGTTTCGGCTCTATGGATGCTGGTTATGTTGAACGGTGCTTCCGGTATACTAAATCGATTGAAGATTACGATAGGCGATAATAATCGATATTTCGTTCAAGTACATACGAAAGTTACTCGATAGGTTCAAAAACGTTCTGTATATTCCTTAAAATGTACGATATTTTATTAAAAATTTTATCATTTTCAGGGTGGTATGACTAAAATCGTGCAAGAATTGTTTAAAAATATTTTGAAACAGGATGGGAAAGTGAAATTCGTAGAACGTGTTAACGAAATCAAATTTAACGACGATAGAGCATACGTGCGGACAGAAAAGAGCTACCTCAAGTAAATGTTATACCTAATTCGATCATTTTAGAATCGTAGAACGTCTTTTAATCGTAGTCTCTATTCATAGATGTGAATTTGTAGTCGTAGCAGTGCCCCCGCCAATGCAAAACCGTATTGTCATAAAATCATCGCCACAAGAATCGTTGAATCCACAGGGCCTGTACGCGGCAGGTGAAAACGTATTTTTTAAACTTACTTACAAAAGACCACCGTGGATCAACGATTTCGCAGAAAATATTGTAACCCCATGGGACACCAGTGCGAATTTAAATATTAGTTACGATGCAACGCATGGAAATACGGGGATATTTGTGCTCGCTGGATTCCTTGGCGAACCTAATGCAACACAGACCCATAACAAAGGACTGTTTGATATACTAAATGAATGTTTTGGAACTACAGAAGCTCTAAGATATGTAAAATATAAAGAATGGAATTCCGTAACATCGAACTTACAAACAATAAGCAGTCCCATGAGTGTAATGAAGCCAACTACTGTATTCGATCATAGCAACTACATAGATGATCTTAATGGTAGGTATGTTAATGTTTTAAATACTGATACAAAGATACAAGTACTTGAAAGGAAATTTCCCTCGTTTTTTAAATTTTCATATGTTTTTATGGCATAATGTAAGATATTAGCCGGTCAGCTTTTGAACACGTGGCATGTACACGTGGCATGGACGTGGCCTTAGGTCAAAGGCGGCCGCGAGCCGCCGAAAGGGCTTTTATGTCGCGCCGCAATTCTTTGAGGACATGCCGATTTACCGGCGATGACCGAATGTTCGGACGACCAACGGTCAGTCTCGTCCAGACCCCCGTCGAGGAAAGACCAATAAACGCATACATATATATTTCAACTCTGCCTTCTGCACTTACCACGAATCCCGGCCATCCCCTTACAATAACAATGTTTTTGAAGCATTATGTATAGGAATTAACGTGTTTTAATAATGAAATTGTCATTCAAGGATTCTTTTTGCTTCGAGCGAATACGCCGTTAATTGGCCAGGTACGATAGATGGCGCGATCGAAGCTGGTGAAGCTACTGCCTACTCGATTCTATTGAGAATTAGACCACAAGCACTCACTTTTCATGAGATAAGCACTCTTACGTATGTATTTTACATTAAAATACAATTTAATCGAAGTTAAAAGTTTTAATGATTTTATTATTGTAGTTTTAAAACGTAATGAAACTCTTTAATATCGTCTGATTAATGTATACGCGTACATAGCTTAATTAAGGATTATCATGTTAGGTCAAAGTCGAGAAGAAAGTCAACAGCTCCTTTCAAGATATGCGCTATCCAGTATCTAGGATTGGTCATCAACGTTGCTGTTTTCCTAACGTTCCTAAAATGTGCTTATACTAACTCATAAATAGCTTTGTATAACAGAAAAATGTCTATCAAGTATTTAAAATAAAATATTTATTACCGGAAAGATTAAATTTTCTTCTTAATGATATTCAAAGTATTCAGAGGTTTACTTGAAACTTTCTTTTTGTATAAATAATAAGGTAAACATTGATGATACATTTTCGAATTGTATCATCCGTTAAATATAATTGTAACGTAAATATTGAACATAATATATACTATAAACATTTTAATACAGTGTTGCAAAATAATGTAATTTATGAGATATCGTATTTAATATTCTATTCTATTGTCACGTTTGAATGGTAAAATAAATACTATCCAAAGTGAAATTCTAACGAATTCTAATATTACATATTAACTACATCGCGCATGTAAACACGCGAATGTGATTTTGACCGCTACGAGAATCGGGAATGTTCGAATCACTATCGAATGTAGTTCCACATCCATCCTCTTCCTCTTCGCACGTGTATTTAGATCAGTTCCGAAATAAAATGTTCAAAGTTCGGTGAAAATTTGTGAAATCTACTACAACTGTGTCTCTAAGAATTTCGTAAGTAACATTAAAAATCATTTATTGGAAAATATCTGTCCAATTCTATGGGTACTTATAAAACGTCTGCTCTTGAAATTACCTTATTTTGTACACTGTAAGTAAATGCAAACTAGAATCCTAATAAAACCAACGAACAATTAGGAATAATCTACGTCAAAATGTCTCAAAACGACACGAGCGATGATGAAACTGTTTTGCGAACACCGATGTTTCTCAGAAAAGGATCACGGTGCAGTTGTGCAACAATAGGTACGTTAAATGTTATAATTTGTCTCTTTATACATTAAAATTACCGTTATCTTACTTTCTTATATATTTTTTTCGTTTATATCTACACTATTTTATTCGTTTGAACGATTCCTATACTTAAACGTACGCTCATACCCGATAATAACGAAACCGCCATTTTAAATTTTGAATCTTGTTATTAAATTCGATATCAACGACCTCAAGAACTCTTTACTGCATAGTTTTCGACTAGACTCCTTAAATTTTTCACATAGAAACATTTAATATTTATTAAAATATTATATTTTTACAGGAACCCCATCATCTCTGACCAGTTCGATAATATTCGGTCAGATTCCGGAAGAGGTACTTCGTGCTTGGAGTCAACTACCAGAAGAAGTACGTTTGGATCCTAGCTTGGCTGTTTTTCAAAGGGAATACGATCGAGTAAATGCGGGAAAGTTGGTATTTTTGTCACTACATTACTCGTTTCTATCCCATTAAGAGATTTTCAACTGATATAGTTACTCGATATACCTTTCCTTTTCTGTAGGTCCTCGGATGGAATAAAAAAAGATTGTTTGGTAGTTAACATGTCTGTTGGTAATCACACCACACATCCTCAGAAGTGAGTATTATACTCTCGATCCCTGTTTTCATAATTACCACGGAAAATATATTAATAAATCTTTTAACATTGTGCTACTTTGGTGTTGCATATCAACGTTAGAATGCAACATGACGAGACTGGCGATGAAGATGGACATCAAGATATAATGCAAGGAACTAATGCAACTAAACAGAAACCATTTTATCGGTACATGAAGTTCATATTATTGTGTTGTTGCTGGCTCTTATTTACTGTAAGTTACAAGAAAATTATTTCAACAAAAATTTTCACTGTACAAAGAACAAACTACTACTTGCTTCGATGTACAAGTTGCGATAATATATTTCATAATTGCAGTTGCTGCTGATGTTCAAGAGCGAGAAGATCGAAAAAATGCATCACATCTCGGTGCCCAAAGACAAAATAAGAAGTATCCTTTTATCTATTGATAAAGAAATTCTCTATTTTTTAAAAGAAATTGTTGTGCTTTCATTTTTCATAGTTGTATCAAAGTTAAAATGACACCTATTTTCGTTTCTTGGGTTTCCTTAAATTTTCATAGATTACAGAATGTACGGTGACGTCACTGGCAAACGAATTAGCGTAACGGTAGAAGGTTCGTTAATTCCACCAGTTAAATCAGCACATTACAGTAATGTATCTGAGAGATATCTAATGCTGTGGTTAGAACTACAGATTTACGAAGCAAATGGTACTGATTCTAAACAATTTAAGGTAGTATGTTTCTGAAGAGAAATAAAATACTATAGATATACGATATAAACCATAATAAAATATACTGTAATTATTAGAGACTCAATCACAACGTTTTAAATGAAATTTATGATATTTTTCCACAGAACATAAGCGACGTATGGATGTTACCGATTCTTCCGGAAAGTCTAATGGATGTATTTCCTGGACAAAGGCATCAAAAATATTTCGTTTTGGGAAACATTAGCGAAACGTATGTTGCTTTCTTAACGTAGAAATTCCTTCTTTTCCAAATTTAAGATACGAATCGTGCAATGTATTACTCTTTTAAACATTTTTACGTTTCAGGGAATTAGGACACAGTGTGGTATCAATGAACTTGAAAACAAATTTGGAATCCAGCTTTGCAGTCTCCATGTCTTACGATTTGTCATTGTTAAATAAAACAAACGGTCTGATATATGCCGCGATGATTTTACTCGGATTGTACATCTTAATAATATTCGAGGTAAATCTAAATTCTAATCTTCAATCTTGATATCCGTTACGAAAAACCAAAGTTTCGTTGAGACATCTAGAAAAACTTATTACACAATTTAATGCATTATGAAACCGATAAATTGTATTGAAATAATTGTAGATCGTGCACAGAACCTTGGCAGCCATGTTAGCGTCCACCATGTCCATCGCAGTGCTAGCAGCTGTAAACGAGGTATTTTAACTCGAAACAAATGAAAATGTAACATAAATTATTCGTTAAATACAATTTCCTATAAAACATTTTATTACAGAGACCAACTATGAGTGAAATGATTTCGTGGATAGATGTCGACACGTTGCTATTGTTATTTTCTATGATGATACTTGTTGCTGTTGTCGCTGAAACGGGTATATTTGACTGGCTTGCGGTCTACGCTTTTAAGGTGATGCACTCGTGTTTCTTTTTCTTTTACTCGATTCCCGTAATTTAAATTGTTCTTGTTATTCACGATATCAGATGTATTATTATTCTCCCACAAATATATAACATTGCACGATTCTCGTTCTCAGATAACTGGAGGAAAGCTGTGGCCACTCGTGAACACGTTATGTTTCTTCACAATGTTCATCTCCGCCTTCTTAGACAACGTTACAACGGTACTTTTAATGACACCAGTAACTATCAGATTATGCGAAGTGATGGAGTTAAATCCAGTGCCAATATTGACGACGATGGTCGTTTATTCTAATATCGGTGGTGCTATGACGCCAGTAGGCGATCCACCCAACGTGATTATTACATCGAATCATGATGTTATACAAAATGTAAGCAGTCTTCCGAAAATACCGTAGATTTCTTTGCTATCAGGACATCTTCCTTTGTTCTATATTTATCAGTTGTATGTTTTGTGTTCCATGTAGGGCGTCGATTTTAGTATCTTCACAATGCACATGAGCATCGGTGTTGTATTAGTAACAATCGTAGTCTATGCACAGCTACGGTTTATTTTTCGAGACGTGGCTGTTCTTAGATTCGACGAACCGCAAGATGTACAGGTAGATAATATATATTTCTAACTTTTCATTTAGCCTTTTATGTTGATAAATATTTGACAAATATTTTTACTTTATTATTGTAGGAATTAAGGCACGAAATCGCCATTTGGCAAAGGGCTGCAGCAAGTTTGTCGAGTTACAGTAAAGATGAAAATTTAGTGAGAGAAACGTTGCTGAAGAAAGTTAAACGTTTACTCTCGCAATTAAAGAAGAAGTTACTAACGGGTAGCGTAGCACTCGAAAGATATAAAACTACCCTCGAGGAACTTCAAGAAAGAGTAAGTAGTAAATATATGAACAATTGTTGTATCTATTAACGTTGCTTTAGTTTTTCATTAAACCTGTTAAATAGAAGACATTCGAATATTTCAGTTTTCTATAAGAAATTAAAAAATTTAAAAGACGATATTTTAATTTAATTGTATTTCATTTTGCAGTATCCTATTAGGGACAAATGGTTACTAGTCAAATCTGGGTTCACGTTAACATTCGTGATCACCTTGTTCTTTTTACACAGTCTCCCCAATCTGCATTTATCGCTAGGTTGGACCGCTTTGGTCGGCGTTCTTTTATTATTAATCGTAGCGGATAGCGAAGATCTGGATGGTCTTATGGCACGAGTAGAGTGGAGCACTTTGTTATTTTTTGCATCGTTATTTATTCTAATGGAGGTATAAAAATACTTACAAGTTACACTTATTAATTATTGTCATTAAAGAAAAATTTGACGTGATTGATACTTTTCAGGCTCTTTCGCGTTTGGGTCTCATCGATTGGATAGGAAAGCAAACCGAAAGTGTTATCCTATCTGTGAACGAGGAATCGCGATTGGCAGTAGCTATATTACTGCTACTTTGGGTGTCTGCATTTGCAAGTGCATTCGTTGATAATGTACCTTTATCAACAATGATGATTAGAATCGTAATTAATCTAGCACAGAACGACGATCTTGGATTGCCATTGCAACCCTTGATATGGGCTTTAGCCTTTGGCGCCTGCATGGGAGGTAATGAAATTTTGAAAAATAATTTTCAAACTATTATTATTACATTCGCAAACTATAAATTAATAATAGTTTGAAATTCCTCTTCTGGATTCAACACCTAGATTATCAGACGAAAAAATTTGACGCCATCATTATTTTATCATTGTTCTCGATACTTGTTCATTGAAAATGTATTAGAAAATTGAACATGTACGATTGTTATTTATGTGGTTGAATGGACGATTATATTTGCAGGAAATGGAACTCTGATTGGAGCTACTTCTAACGTAGTTTGCGCAGGAGTTGCTGAGCAACATGGATACAGATTTACATTTATGCAATTCTTCAAGTGAGCACACTTTGGTGTTATAGGGAATTGAATTTAAAGTCAAGCAGAATAAATTTCTTATTATGTTCGTTTCAGGGTGGGCTTTCCAGTTATGCTGACAAGTTCAATGACAGTAACCGTATACCTAATAATCGCCCACGTCGTTTTCAAGTGGAATGGAAATTAATTGTTGGAAGTTACAACCCGTACTTTCAGTAAAAAATTATTAGTATTATACTATTTAATTTACAATACACAATTGTACAGTATGTAAATCGAGAACATTTTATAATAAATTTATTGTACTTATTATTATTACTACTAAATATACTCTTGTTTCTGGTTCTATAGTATGATCACAGACGAGGTATACGAGTAGTCCTTTCACCTTATGGACTTTCGTGGACCAATCTGACTGCCATAATACCGACTTGAAAATTCGGAGGTAATTTTAGCGTCCTCTTCACATGAATGGCGGTCAGTTGTGAAACTATTCACTGAATTAGTATTGATAGACAAACAGTTGTAGTGTTGCGTAAATACATGTGAGTTGCTATGGAAGAGATTAAAATTCATTTCTGAATCTGTCGTAACGTTGCGAATGACACGAAAATGGTAATGGGGTTTCGAGACCCCATAAAAATAGGCCGCAAAAATATATTGGATGAAGGATCTACTTCTATACCACATCTGTGACAATGCTCTAGAATCTTTGATGAATCAATGAGAATCAAAACTAACCTAGCGAAGAAGCTCTATATTTATGATGACCTATGCAAAGCGGATCGCAGCCAATTTGCTAATATTATTTAGTTTTTAATTAATAATTGTATTACCAGCTAAGAGTGATACGATTATTAATTAAACGTTAAATAATATTACCCAGGTCTCACCACGTGGAGGTTGCTGCGAATGGAGACCCGCCCTAACCGATTCCCAACCACCCTCCATTAATAAAAATCTTTTGTGACCAGCGATCGTTGGTCGAAGAAGCAATAAACGAAAGTGAAACCAACGAAGGAAACAACCAACGAAAGAGTTTTTTGAGAAAGAATTTGCCTCTAAATTCTCATCAACAAAACAGAGAAATAGACCAAAATATTGCCTGCCTAATATGATGATTAATAGAGAGAACCAAACTCCTGCCTAACTATAAATCTAATTTCACTTACATCCTACCTATCTAATCATCTAACAAAATATATAGAAAATATATTCTTCCTTGTTAATCCTTCGATAAAGATTTCCTGAAACCTACTGTTACATTCTACCTAATTATAAATCTAAATTATTAAAACATAAACTAAGCAATCTGAAATAGAATACATGAAATATATTCTTCTTTCTTCTATCTTCTATTTATCCCACGATGATTTCCTGAAACACAAACAAATCAATATCAAACAAAATTGTAACAATTCTTAATTCTTACTTCTATATACCTAAAACTTCCATAGGAATATGCTCTGTAACAGAAACTTGTTTAATAGATTAGTAAGAGAACAAACAAAACAAAACAAGTAAAACTACAAATACTACAACTACAGGCAAGTGCAGTGAGAAAGTAAAAATAGTACATAATATACGAGGTTACTTTGACTCTAAAATGTATTCGTCGCGAAATATCTTCTTGCACGTAAATCTAATGATATATTTTAATAAGTAAAGAAAGACTTTGGGTATCCTCGATATCGAAGATAGCCAAAGTCGTCAACTCAATTATGAAAGTGAATTTAATTATTGAAGAATGTAAAGAACAACGAACATCGGAAGCTACTAATTTGACACTCATTCTAAAATTAATATAATTATAAGTATTATAAAAGATATTAAAATCATGACTCTACTTTCGATCGATATTACGATATTTGTCATATTAAAAATTGCGGCGTATAAAAACATCGCACGCTTAAATAAAACACGACGCGACACGTGCTCATAGCGTGCAGTGAGTGTGGGTATCAAATTGATCCCCCCCGGCCTTGATTATCAGAAAAGCAAGTCACGCCCCTGATCCATGTCTATCGGGCTTCTCTACGTACAACCGCCGGGTCCTGGAGGACACACGATCACAACAGGACCCGCTTAGTACTCGAGAACGGATATGAGTCAAGAACTCTCACCGGAGGTCATTCTCTTTTCCGTATAAAGAGGAGAATATATGCGCTCGGTGAGGCCCCACTTAAGCTGAACCAAGCTGCACCGGGGTTGAAGCGGTTAGAGCTATCACACCTACTACACAGGCGTCACATGTTTCATTCAATCAAACAGAGGTGATCGAGCAAAAATCTCTCCGGTTCTTTCAGTCGAGACATAATCTCGGAAAGCGAAAACCAGAGAACAAGCGGACGAGAGAAAGTGATGTACGCGTAGTATACATATGTACTCATTATATATTCATTTTAAAACGAGTGTCAAATTAAAAATGAATCTACTGACATTTGTCATCTTAAAAATCGCGGTGTGCAAGAAGATTATAATTTTAAGCAAAAGATACTAACTACACTTGCCAAAGAAAGCACGTATACAACCAGTTGTTTTACCCATTTGCCTTACGATTTAATTTCGAACTTTGCGTGCCAAAAGCGTCATCAAGGTTTGGCCCGGTAGACTTATCACTTCTCTGAGACCTCTTGTTCATGTTTGGCCCGGTAGACTCATTATGTCTCTGAAACATCATTAAGCTAAGGGGTTAAAAAGGAGGTTTTTAAACACTTAAAAATGACCTATCATCTAGCTTAAAAATAAAAATTCATGATATTGTATAGAAACAAATATAGTATACGATTGAAAATAATGTTACATTAATATATCCTGCAATATTATACATATCGAAGCAATCACATAAATTCGAAGAACAATGTAAAAGTGGAAACACAGAAAAGGAACATTCATAGTAACCAAATAAAATCAGATAGATAAATGAAGTTGAATTCACATCAAACAAACAAATAAAAATAATAAAATATAAATAAGTGAAGTGGACTTACTACTTGTTGTCAGTACATAGGGTAGTTACCACTGGGTCAGCTGTAAAGTAAGAAAATATTCATATTATAGCAACATCAGTTAGACAAGCAAGGCAAAATCAGTTCATTGAAGCAAAATTAGCATCAAATGATAGAATAGAAGAGGGAAGAGAAATTTTAAACAGTTCTTACCGTTGGTCATCACCGTCCGGCACTGGTCAGCAGTGGTCAGTAGTGGTCAGTAGTGGTCAGTGGTGGTAGGAGCACTAGTCAGAACTGGTCAGTAGTGGTCAGTAGTGGTCAGTACAGGTCAGCCATGGTCAACCGTGGTCAGCGCTGGCCAGTAGTGGTCAGCAGCAGCCGGCAGAGGTCAGCAGCGGTCCCCGGTACTCTTCTGGCCATTTGTACACTCCCGAATTCGCGACGAGACTGAAGAATTCTTCGCAGTGACCCACTTCGCTTATATGTCTCAGGTGATGAAAGGGTGGGGAGACCAATCAGAGAAAAAGGTAAAGTTAACAGTTAAGACTGTCTTGTCTACAAAGAAACTATTTCGATTGGTCCCACCTCTTGACCATTTCTGGATCTTCACTGGACCGCTGACCTTGATGTCAACCTCACTGTTGACCACCAGTGACCATAAGCTAGTCATTGTTGATCATCGACCCATTAAAACCATTACGAAGATTAAAGCCTTCTTACGAGGATCCCCTTACAATTTGATGCATGATCTTTTTAACATTTTGTTCCACTTTGGAAGAGTGTATCTCGTTAATTTTTGTCCTTTTGTATGTCAGTTCGAACAATTGCCATACGTGAGCAAAAAATTCGGATGTGCTTTTAGCGTCCTCTTCTCATGGATGGCGGTCAGTTGAGAAACTATTCACCGAATTAGTATTGATAGAGCTGTAGTTTTGCGTAAATCCATGTGAGTTGACTATGGAAGGGATTAAAATTCATTTCTGAATCTGTTGGTAACGTTGCGAGTGACACGAAAATGCTAATGGGGTCCCGGGACCCTAGAGAAACGGGGCGACAAAATACATTAGGTGAAAGGTCTACTCGTATACCTCGTCTCTGGTATGATCAACCAGGACGGTTTAATTTTAAACAGTTGATATTTATTATATGAAATTAAAAAATTTCAAATCGTTCTCAAAAAATTATTTTTGGTCGCGGGGATCAATTACAATCAGTTTTGGTGAATAGATATACGTCCGAAATCCTACGCACTTTCGAGAAAAAAATTCTTTTTCGAAATGATACGATTAAAAAAAATTTCTTTTCCCCCACTCATCGTGTACCAAGTAGGGCCACCTGGCGTCGAAGGCAACAAACTATTTCTCGATAAACTTGGTCGTTCTGCCGTAGATGGCAGTGAAATTCTTCGTATATTTACACTGATGTTCCTAGAATAAAATAATCAATAAAACTGCTGTCAGCTGTGAAAGATTTTGTGTAACAAGAAAGTCGAATAGGGTTCCAGCCAAATGATTAAAAATATCTTTAATTGATGAAAGATACATTTTAAGAAGCATGAAATGCATAAAAAGACACATAAACGGAGCACGTACGTCTTGTATAACGTTTTCTTTATACATTAATATGTTCTTTTTAATGATACATAGGATAGAATAAAGTTTACATTTTAATATAGATATAATTCAGCAACGCAAAAAGTAAAAGCATCAGAAAACTTATTACATGGAAGAGACTACCAAGATAACGAGAATAAATCCAGCAACCACTTTCAACTGCCAAGTTTACAAAAGAAAAAAACTTGGAAAGATGTTGATGATCATGTATCAACATGGGATGAAAATAGCATCACAACATGTATATCTTATTCGTCTGAGTTGGAAGACATTGCAACTCAGAAAGTTATGCAACAGTGGGATGCTATTGAAAACACGCTTTATGAAGACGGTGATCAAGTAACACAAACAGCCCTTTTAGAGGAATGTATACAATGGAGAACACAAATACCACATTTAAGAATAGTTGGAAAAAATCCATTTTTATCAACCAAAAGCAAATATCAAGATTTGGATAAAAATTCCAGTCAAATGAAGAATAGATTCAATTCGCATGATGAAGATCAATTTTCAGGACATAGCCTTTCGAGGGTAAGAAATGTTGTACATTTCTGTGAAATTAGATTAGAGAATTTCAATGTCACATAATAAACAATTATTTACAGGAGAGACAAATTTCATCGAAACATAAATTGCAAAGCGCATCAAAGGATAAAATATATGATATGCTCTTTGATCATGTAATGTCTGAACTATTTCCAAATAAGGAAAATGTGATTGACTCGCTAGGTGATGATTTAAATGAAGTTTTGCAAATACGTATGGCACCTATTCATAGCAATAAAAGTTCTGCAAAAAGTACCAAGTTGAATTGGTTCGAAGAAACCATTCCTCTTGATAACAGATTTCCAAGTAGCAGGGTTAGAGGAATAGAAGATCATATTGTACCGATAAGAAAAGAAGCTGCTCAAACAAACATAGAAGAAATTCAAAAGTAAATATGTAAATGTAAATATATGTAAATCATTTTTTGTATCAAGTATATTTACAATTCATATGTTGTAGAAAACATGATAATCCCAAACAAAGTGATGGAATAAGGAGCGGGCGAGATGCTTCGCTCGCGATAGAAGACAAACTTTTTAGGCCTCATACTGGTAGAAATAAACTTGGCACTGTTTTTAATGAGAAGATTGTAGTTAGTCCTGTGCCTTATATTTTGTCAACTAGGGAAAGTTTTTCTACCATTAAGACTACTCCAATCAAGTTTATGGGACAGACACTAGACGTTTCTACATTTCCAGGCATGTCATACATTTTTTAAATAATCCGAAACTGAAATGCTATAACCTTACTTTTTACATAACTGTTATTTTATTCCAGGCTCGAGCAGAAATCTTTCTTATTTAAAAAATTCGAAAAAAAATTTAACTCCAACAAAACAACCAACTTGTCAGTCTGCTTGGCATAATTCTGTTACTCCCGTCGCGTGGCCAAAAAATATAAAGCTTGCTCCGTTAGATACTTCGCGACTTCCTAGCAGCAAAAATCGGTACGTAGAATATATTAAGAGTACTGCGTCTAGAAATATCTTTTATATTGTTTACATAATTTTAGATCTGTGACATCGTTGTCGGTAGTTTTTGAACGCGGCAGAAAACCCTTAAGTCCTATTTCTCGTTCCACTTTGCCTGTCTCTGCACAAACTAGTCATATTAACGATAACGACGGTTTAAAAATTCAAGGTAGACATATAATACCTGGACAATCTTCTAAGATAAGTGGGACTAACAGTGGTTGGGATTGTAGCGCTAGGAGTAGAAACAACAAACAAAAGAGAAGGCAATCAAAAACTAAATTATAACGAATTTTACTGGGCGGGTAAATTGATTTCATAAATCTATATAAAATTATTCTCATCTTTGTGAGAATTGTGTTTGCAATGTCTCGTTGTACAAGTCGCTATGAATATTACTATACAAGTGGAGACGATATCCGTAATTTAAAAAATGTAAACTAACATTTGATATAAAATATAAATACATTGTTATTGTTAAATAATTATAAGAAACCTCAATGTGTTGAAGTATTAAAAACGTGTTGTAGTTTTAAGTGTTTTGCGGTATAAACGGAAACAGAATTCGTACACTGTTAAATATAATACGAGCTGATGTTTAAATGTATAAATGTTATATTTTAAATACTCTTGTTGTTCGATAGATAAGCGTATCTTTGTAAGTGTCTCTACCTCACTCAATATCGATGTGTTACTTTATCGATGCACACGCTTACGTTGCGTAGGTGAATATATTTTTGTAATGCACACGTTTGTAAATAGATGTACTTACTGTAAATATACAATAATAGGTACATTTAAATAAACGTTTAATTAATTTTAACGTTTTCTTTTATAGCTGATTAAATGAGCTTTCCCTCCAAATTTGGATACAATAAATCCTTGATTTAAGAATCAGACGTTTCTATAAAATAACCAAAATAATAACGCAGGGTAGGATAAGTCATGTGGCCATGACAAATAGCAACAGTTTCGTTTTTATTATAGTTTTGCATTTACAATTGCTTGCTGGGCGTATAATTCGATTAAATACTTATCGCATTTACACGTTGCATTTTTATAAAAATACGTTTCACGGTTAGAAATGCGGAGGAATTCGGTATTCGAACGAAATACTTGAATAGATGCGAGGACGATGAAATGAATGTTTAGAAGCGTTGTTCGATAACACTTTCGCTACTTATAAAACGAGTTAGGAACATTTTAACGAATTATTCTTTGGCACTGCAGCTGGAAAGCTGTACATTTCTTTCTCGATCATTTTATATTTGTTGCTTCGTAAAATATGTGAAAAATGCTGATTCGCACCTTGACCAACAATGGCGGATCTAGAAGAGCTCAAAGAGGAGGGAGCTAATTCAAAATCTCTAATTTGAAAATTATAAATAGATATAGAAATACTAACGTTTAGAAAATTTAGATAATAGATTTTTTGGTAAATGGAAGTTTCCCCCTCCCCCTTCTCCTCTTCGCTACTTATAACATTCTTCGAACTAATTAGGACGGTGGTTTACTATATTTTAAATAACAAACTTCCTAATAAATAATTGCAATTTAACTAGGGGTGTGCGGGTAGTATACTCAACCCCTAGGTTCACCCCTAAATTTAACTGTTAGGTTGCAACGTATAAAATGTCTGCTCGTAGATACTAATTTTGGAATGAAACGTTGAATCTTCTACATAAAAATAAGGAAGGTAATTATTAATATCTACACGCGCGAAGTATGTGGAAAGACACGATTAATGGATCGTACAGAATGATCAATCAGGGATGCAACACCTAAAAGAACTTTCTCTACCACCAAAAGATACTTAACAAATTATTTTTTACAAATAATCGAGATCACGAATATATTTTCAAACGAAACAACCTGTAGAGGTTGCAAAGTTTACTATTAAATTGATTATACTCGTTATTATCGTCAGTATCATGATTGCAAACGTACTTAAATAATTAAATAATAAAATGTTCATGCATCGAGTCGTTGACTGTGTTTCGAAATTGTCCCAGATTCTACGTAACAACGATGGTACAATTTGTACAACTTATATTTACACACAATTAATAAATCAACGCTCAAAGGAATTAATGTACGTACTGAAATTTTTGGCAGTGCAGAATTGTTGGGCAGTGCTTAGAGCAATGATTGGCATTAATTAGGTGCTGGCTAGAGGCTATTTGTTCCTTCGAGCGTAGTTGCTTGGTACGGCCTTTGCGTGATGCTCTTTCGCGATTATTTTCCCACCTCGTACAAAGAAACTCTCGCCACGAGATGCAACAAATGGGGCGATAGTTTATCTCGTAAGACATTACGCTGCCAAGTGCTTCGTTCGCACGTATTTCATCCCCTTTGCAACCATACTTGGCCCTTTGCTCGTTTCCCGAATTTCGCTGACCCTCTGGACACTTTCCTCGAGCCTCGAATATTATTTAAGGGGTGTAGGAGGGTGAAAATCAACTACAGATCATTTTCAGGATAAAATTTTTAAAATACGTATTTTTATGTCACGATTACAAATAAAGAAATATAGAAAATATTATTGGATCACAGAGTTCATACTTCTTCATCTTTTTTTTCTTAATTATGCAAAAGATTTATTTACAAAATTATTGTTTACATAAATGAATCTGACGGGAAAAATGACATCGAAATACGTATTTTATATACCTGATACACGAGGGGCTCGGTAGAAAGTTGATACAAATTCAAATAATAGTAAACATTTGGATCTGTAACATTTTGGTTACAATAAATTATTCTATACAATTGAAAAAAATTTACAGACGCGGATATCAAGGTTCGAATCGAGCACTCAGAGACTGTAACGTTCGATCGTGTTTATAATTCTTTCTACGAACAGAAATTAATCCATTTATGCGAGTTTCTTTTGATTATTATGTTGCACGCAAGCGTTATTGATTCCCTTGCAAAATAATACCACAGGATGATCAGTGTTCGTCGACTATTAACAGAATTTTCTTTAAAGCTGTTTCTTTAAGCGACGATATTTCCTTACGTTGCCTAACGAATAGTATAGTATATTAATCTTCATTCACGTGCTTAATTTTTATGCTTTCCGCATCACTCTTCTTCTTATACGCTAATTGGATATGTTGGGTTGTATGTGTATTTACAATTCACACGATTCGATAATTCCAATCAACCACAATTATTACAAGTTACTTTCCTTGGTGTACGTTCGATATAAAGTGTAACATATAAAATTATGTATAGCGTTTTATTTACAAATACAGACTATCCAGTCTTTGGACGAAAAATATGCTGGGTCTCGCTGTGCAGGCCAGTTCCCAGAGGTTTAAACAAAATGCAATAGTTAGTGAAATACAGTTGAAAATAAAGAATTTTGCAAAAGAAGCAAAATAACATTTTGTATCATTTTTAACGAATAAAATTAGAACCTGTGCAACTCTATATGATAAATGGAACCGGAGATGCGGTTACAAAGTTGTACTGAAAAACATTTTTATGTAATTTTTGCATCGTTTTGGTCGAACTTTGAAACGTTAATTTCCGGGCATATTTGTCATAAAATGTTTTGCAGGGTCTTTTTTCATTTGTTACAAAACGATAAAAAAAAAAAAATTATGCAACTTCTTTATTGCTTTTCAGCTTCTCTGACCACATTCCTCACTGAATCTTTTTTCTCTAGATTGAAATACTTTAAATTTACTTATGAATAAAATAAAATGTTTACTTCTAATTATTGCATTTTTTGTCACTGGGTACTGGCCAGTGGAGTATTATCCAGTACCCTAGATTTCTCCAGCGATCCATTGTATTTTTCGCGTGTTTTTTTTTTTATTAAAATACAACTTAAGATCTTTCAAACTATACACGATCCATCCTTAACCCGTAAACAGTGTAGATCATGTAGATCATTCCTTGTGGAGTTCAATTTTTGTCATCGATAATGGTTAGGGTGAACTTATTATTTGATTTTTTTTAAGGTGTTACCATCTATCACGCGTCTGGGTAATATTCGTTGTTCCCGTCATTTTAACAATCACTATTGATCATTATTTATTTTCATGTATAAAAAGAGTGATCGATTTTTGAGCAAGGTAAGCTAATACTTACAATCGATATAAATAATTAACGTTAATCTCATTAAATTGAGGAATATTTATATTTTTAAATTTGATTTTTGGTGATATTTATTTCTTCAAGTACCTAAACTTAAGATACTGAATTAAATATTAAACTTTTTTCGTAGATGTAAGTGAACTATGAATAAGGCAAAATGGTCTCAAAAGGATTTATCAAAAGCCATGGAGGAAGTTAGTAAGACGAAGATGTCAATGCATAAGGCAGCATAAGTGTTTGGAATATCATATTCCACTTTTGAAGAGAGAATTAAAGAAGCTACAATAGTTTATATTTACATTAGATTTACAATATTAATTATTACTGTGATTGTATTTACACTATTTTGAGTTGTGGTTTTACAGTGTAAAATGTCCGTATTATTGTAAGAAATTTGAAAAGATGGAAGGTGCAGATCCTATGGGCAATGAGCACGTGTAGAGTATTCAGGATGGAATATACAAAGTGTATCCGGACTTTTTGATTTTAAGAATTCAATTTGGTACAACATAAATTTTCACTTCTTTTATCATATTGATGCAAACTAAATTCTTTAAGCCATCGTTTAAGACCAAAAAAGTGTCGAATATGTAATTTGTGAAAATTATATAGCACTTGTTAGCGTGACCGGGATTACCCCACCTTATTCTAGCAGAAAAAGAACTTTAATAATTCCTAATGAAAATTAATATATCTTTGAAATTTAATGAATCACTGAAATAAAAATTAATTTTTACTTGATGATTGTTTTTGAAAAAGCGTTGAGAATACCTGTTAATTTTGGACGTCTGTTTACAGGTTAATTAGGTGTGCGTTCGTGAAGATCCAGATCGGAACATGACGACGAATTCCATCGAATTCATAATTTCGGCGTCTGCAGGAGGTTCTTCTCCATCGACTTCATTTTTATACATTTAGCGAGTAGCGCGATTATCGTGAGAATGGCGCCGAGAAAGGAGACGATCCCCAGGACAACGAGTACCATGAACCAGTTCTTGAAGCTGCCGATTCTGTCGCCAAAATCGCAGTTACAGTTCTCACTTTCGTTCAGATTCAACACTGAAAAGTTTACCGGCCTCAGAGAGATAAGTTTAAAGTCGTCTTGGACTTGCCGCCTGGTGGTAAAGTTCTGCAACTTCTTCGTAAATTTGTACGATATCGTGTAAGTGAACTCTTGACCATCGTACGACCCTTTGGCGCTGTAATATTGTATCAACAATTCGTTTCCAGCGGATGTCAGAGGAACTTGTATATTATTGATGTCCTGGTGGGACACGTCGCAGTAGGACCACATCAGGCCACTGTTATTTGCCTGGAAATTTCATTTTTTTTATATTATACATATACTGCACGGTGAAAGACACTCTATTTATTATTATTCGACCCGCGTTGAAAGCATTTCTTTAACAATTACATAGGTACATGGAAAGACTCTTCTAATTCATGTCGCGTTTGGACTTATTTTCAATACATAGATCGTTATTCGACTAGATAATTAGACTAGTTTAAAGTATCTCGACTGACGAAAACTGCTTCTAACGTGGATGGAAGCCAAGCGGAGTACACTTCGGATGCACCAAATTTACAGAATAACTTCTAATTGCTATGCAAATGCATTCGTCAAGTTTCCATGATGGTTACCTCTATTCCATTGTAAACAGCAATTTCGTTCCCCGAACAGTAATTGAACGTGACATTTTGCTTCTGGGACTGGTGTTCCTGGTCTGGCTCGTTCCTGATTATCTTTATGTGAATGGAGATCTTCTCGGTGGACCTGCCTATGAACACGTAACTGCAAAGAGTGTTCGGTGGATACCAACTCTGCAACGATTTTATATTTTCCCTGGTACGTTCGGTGCTTTTGTAGACGAACTCGCAGTTTTTCTCGCGTTTCACGCCCGGCGCGTCGTCGGTTTCCTGAAGGGACAACTGGAAACCGCCGTGCATTATGGTCCCCTCCTGCTCCGAGAAGAATTCGATGATGACGTCTTTCCCGCGCGAAAGTATCCGTGGCACGTGCCCTTTGCCGCAGAATTTGGAAATCTCCAAAATGGACCCGTCCACGTTCTCCAGCAGCGCGAGGTAATCGCCTACGCAACTGGTGCTTCCCAACTTATCTTGTAACCGGCTCCTCCTCACGTACCGATATTCGGGAACCTTGTCAGACCGGGAAACAAACCGATTATTTTTTTGTTTTCGAGTTAAATCGCGTCTGCTGCGCGGCTGCTCGTTTCTCGCGCTCGACTCGGAACGAAAAGCTTCATCAATTCGCTCGCTGACGAAGGGAAACTTTCAGCCAATGGTTTTGACGAGTTCGGTAATTACTGAAAACAGCCTTAAAGAAGAATCGAGTCGGAAGAAATTTCTCGTCGTTTGAAAAATGGCTTCGATCGATACGTTTGGGCCATTTTGTTTCGTGGAACCTAGCATATGGTCTTAGCTTTGTTATGAAAATTCTTTTCAAGAAAAATTAATAATAATTACATCAAATTATGATTATTTCATGTAACGAGTGGTTTACCAGTCCATTTATTATTTATTAAAATGGGACATTGTGTTGTTACTGATAGATTTTAGTGCTCGTAGATTATTTTCGATAAAAGGAACATCAATCATGAATCCCAGATAAGGAATTTATTTTCCTGACGCGATACTGGCAGCTGATATATGCCCATTGCAAGAGGAAAACCTACAAAAAAGGCAAATGGAAAAAGTGGAAAGGAGCGAGAGTTATCTGTTCCGCCGAAAGAGAAGCATGCCATAAAACAACACGGACTAAAACTTTGCCAATAATATATCTGGATACTTTACCGCAGGTATCGATAAGCAAACGCGATATTCCATATTTGTTACTCTGAATCCGTGCCAACTGGCTAAATCTGAACGAAAACTTATCCAAATAATCTTAGAAATTACTGATGAGTTTAGAAATTGTTCGGAATAATTTTGGACATTCACGAATTCGTAAAATTAATTAGAAAATTGTTCCACGAAGATAATTAACCTGTTAAGTACCACAGCGTCCCATTAAAAAAACATTTGAAGAAAAATTATTTCACTGCTATTAAAATTAATTTAACCCTTAAGTGGATTATTGGGGCAAGTTTAAATTAATTATTATTTAATAAAATTTTTGTAATCCTCCATTAGTTCACTATTTTTTAAACTTTTTAAAGGAAAGTTGATTTCCATTTACCAATTTGGTAACATTAAGTAAAATAATTCAGTTGAGATTGAGAGACTTGTATCCTAAATAAATCTCAGAGAAAATATTGCACAAAAAGTGGCACTGTAAATATTGCAATCAATAATGTTTTCTTTATAAAGAAAACTGTTTATAAATGAGTCAAATAAAAATTGCAAATACTTTCAAACTCGTCTACTAAACGAAGTGCAGAGGATTAATTATCACTTGGACGTTACTCAGACTTCAGTAAAGATTGATAAAAACTGATCCCCGGCGATCTCGGAAACCGTCCAGCAGTTCGCGAGGAAACTTTTTCGAGATCAATTCACCTGGAGGACGGCGGTACTTTGCTGGCTGGATCCCTTCCTGGCAATCACGTGAGTTCCGTCGGGCAGGATCTTCAGGTTCGATATATCCTGCAGATCATGATCGGAATTCCTCTTAGGGCTTATCGAGCCCATGGACATTTTATGGACGCGTTGCGGATGACGAAGTCTCTTCTGAATAGATTCGGACCGTGGTCCTTGATCGCGATAGCCGGACAGTCTGGGGCTACTCCTGCCGAGGAAGACGTCCGCGGAAGACTGCTCGGTGATCTCTTTCGAACGGTCGTTATTTCTCCGTTTATCCTCTTCTCTTCCGCGAGAATGGCTCGTATCCTTCGATCCAACCACTTCCTTCTTGACTTTCTTAAGCCTTCTTCGATTATTTCTGCCCTTCCTGAACTTGCGCGACGCTTGGCCAATGATAAATTCCAGCTCCTCCTCGTGATCGAGGCTCCTCGCTCGCCTGATGTCCGATCTGGCGACCCTCGTCTTCGGGGCTTCCGCCACGATTTCCACGTGCTGCTCGCAGTTCTCCGTCTGGCAGCTGTCCTGGGACGTTCGGTTCATCAAATCGAAAAGGTCGTCGGGTTGGCCGCCGATTTTAAAACGACCCGTGCCCGATTCCAGCGTGATCCTGCATCTGATACCGCGGGGATAGACGCCCGGGTAACCCGGGGACGCGAGCTTGCAGGACCTTCGATCGTTTCTCACGGCACATTCCAACGGGCACTCGGACGACGGGGACGGCGTGAAGCCCCTATGTCGTTCGATGGCCAATTGGGTTGGCAGGATCGAAAACTGGGCGGAGAAGATCACTGGATTCTCAGCGGCGAACTTTTCCTCCGAGTCCATTATGATCGTCAGGTTGGGCCCCTTCCTCAGGAACAATCTAACAGACGAGTCTTACGAAATTGTATTGCATTCGTTGCAGTCGATACCGTAGTTAATTCCGGAGAGAACAATTGCTTACGAAAAAATGACATAGTAATTGTGCAAATTGTATACAAATTTAAATTGATTTTCAATTAAATAAACAATTTATTACAGTCGTATGATGAATAGGAAGTGCTGAAACTACTTTGATATTTTAATAAATAAAGGGAAGTAGATGGAGAAGGGTTAAATTGAAATTACAGCAAAGTGAAATCATGGGTTTACCAGTACGGGGAATCATTTACACGCATTGAATGCCACGTTTATAAGCGGCTTGCGAACACTATGTTTCGAATATTAGGCATCTGATTAATCCATTATGTACCGCAAACCCGTGCACACATATGGTTTACAACCTGTGAATACTATTCGCGATTATTAATTATTTTTCTTCAACGATATGTCAATGATCTCTTCTATCTATTATTATCTCGTATTTCACAATATTCGCTACTTGACGATAATTTTTATCGACTTTTGTCAATCTTTTTGTTGACTAAACCAACTGATACTAGTCGTCAAGGTTTATTCACAACCTTAGTGGTGACGTGTATATAATAATTTAAAAGTTAAATGTACATGCAGAGTCCTTCAACAGATTATACGCGCCTCCGATGGCAATCACTCGACGCGAGTACGACTAACAGAATAGGAAATGGAGCACGAAACAAAGCCTTTTATGTGGTCCGATAGGCCAATTAGGTGAATTTGTATCTACCAATTATGTCAAGTACGGTAACAACTAATTGACGATGAAGAGGACTTTATTGATGCAATAATCCCTTATTTGTGCTGTATTCGTGAAATTAGTACACATTGAGCACGGATGAAACGAAATGTGGCGTACCTGGTTGTGTTGCCACTCACATGACCGCAATAGCGTCCCGTTTCGTCCTCGAGGTCCTCGACTCCATCAGAGAATTGAATGTAAGCACCCTCGCATCTGGTTTCTTTCAGAAAACCGACTTGCAACCTCCTTACTTTCAACTCGATCACCTGCGTGTCCAATTAAATTTAATTTTTATTTTACAATACGCTGTTTTACAATTGTTAAATCATCCCTGAGAGATATTCTGAGACTCCAAGATTTATTAAAAAGAAATTTGCGAATTATATACAAAATTTACACTACGCAACAAAGTTAGGAGACCGCTAATTTGACAAGGCAGAGATGCTTTTATAATTGAATGCAGGGTTGAAAAACGAAGATAATTTTTTCTTAAAAAGTTTATAGGTTTGATGTAACTATTTCTTTTTAACCTGAGGATCTCTAGGTGGTGCTCTGATCCGAACGATGCACCGTCCCATTCGACCAGTCCATCGTATCCATCCAACAGAATTCCTGAGAGTACGGTTGCATCCTGCGAAAAACGAAAGTTGTAAACTTCCCACGCACCACGTCTAATCAAGCAAAAAATTATTATCACGAGAGCATTTTGAAAATCTGTCCAACCGTACATGAAATCGCCCGGAAGTAGGAACTATTTCATTTGGTTTGAAAACATTCCAGACCCTAGCTCTCTAATTGATCAACGCATACGGCTCTGGGACCTGTCGTTGCGAAACTTTTTCAATGAAATTTCGTTTTATTCGTCGCACGTGACGTTAGAAAAATGTTTCAGTATATTAAATTTAAAGAAAAAGCTAGTAGGAAATTATTTCACGATGTTAGCCGGGCAAGGTATTAAATTATCTGACTGTTCAGAGTTACTTATGACCCCATTGTCACTATATTTTTTGGCTAGTCATACTGTTCCTCGTTCTTTCGTGCAGATAGTTTCGTCACGAACAGAGAGACAAATCTGGCATACTGGAAGTTATTCCTAGCGCGAATCACTGCGGGGATGTGACCTTGAGCAGCCAATCGATTTCGTTGTGACTACAGTTCGTTTCATGTGATATAATCAGCGCAAAAGTTCTTAATACGTACAGTCTACAGGTAATACAAACATTACAAGTAATAATTTGTTAAATTAAGATAAGTAAATAACCAAAATCATTTAATTATAGATGTTGATCCTCATATAATAGCTATTAAAATGTATTTTACAATGAATACGACGTCTGCTCTTTACGTATTCCGAAAGTTTCATGCATTGAATCATCCCCCGGGGGTACCTTTCGCCATTAATTTCGCACAATGTCCGTTAATCCTGGCTCGAAGTCAAAGAAGGAAATCGTTACAGAGCGAAAAGCCACTGTATCGGTTGCTGGCAGCGTCCGATAGGCGTAATTCATGCTTATATCGTTACTCGCGCAACGCTTCCATTGTACGATGCAAGTAATTCCGGCCATATCGCATCCGTGCCACGAATATTGTTAGGACAATCGCACGAACAGGGGACTTAGCGTTCTGCTCGTCGTTGTAATACCGTATTAAGCCGTCACGGTGAAAAATTAAAAATAAATGCGCCTAACGAAGCAGAAACGAGCGTAATTATCGTAGAGACGACGAGAAAGCGCTCGAGCAAGTCGAAAAACCCGCGCTATCGTCGCTTAAAGCTCTTCCTCTCGCGTTCCAAAGTTTTTTTTCCACGGAACCGTTCGAAAGAAATTTAATATATGCTTCCTCCCTTTCTGACAAAAAAATAGACTGTATCTCAATTTCAAGGTATATATTTCTACGTGCCTTAATTAAATTAATCTGAACGAATAACGTCGAACAATTTTCGCGTTTAATTGCTGATATTTAAGCGGCTCGTTAATTAAACGATTTCTAGTATCCTGGTTCGTTGCGTACACGGCCTTAATCGTAGTCAGCAATCCCGCGCGTGCTATATTTCTGTACGCCAGATTAATCCGACTATTTTCCAGCCAGCGCCCTGTGGACAAGCCCTAATATTCCTGAATATCGTTTGATCCTGATACGCGATCGTACTTTAGTGTGCCCCCTCGTTAACGAGACTCTCGCAGAGAAAACGATCGAAGCTCTATTAAAAACCTTCTGGTAAATAAAACAATTTGCCCGAGAAAACTCTTCTAAATAATATTAACTATTGTGGGAATTTGGGGATTCAAATGAGCAAAACTCGACTTCCTCACACTAACACACATTTAATTAGCACGAGGCTTCGTTACAGACGAAAGACACACGGTGCAACACTAGTACGTCAAAAGAACGCTAGGTGGCGCAGAAACAAATGGCGCTTTGTTCCTAACAATTATATTATAGCTAAATAATTTAGAAATAATTGATTACAAAATATAGATATTGTTTACGAAGTTAATCGAGCGCGGAAGGAACGAGAAGAAAAATTAAAAAAATCTACAGTGCATTTATCCTGGCAGCCATCGTTGGGCCTCGAATCATTTATTTCGTTGTGTATCGATAAATCACTGTACACGTATGGTCTCCTTTATAAAATTTCGCCCCCTGAAAGCTCATCAATTTCTCGGTACGAAACGAGGGCGAGGAAAAGGAAAGAATAATTCGACGTAAACGAGTTACTTCTTTCGTGTACGCGCGAAAGCTTGTTTTTGTCCGCCATGTCCTTTCCTCCGGTTCGAAAGAAGAGTGATTAAGTGTCGGTATTGGGTACCCACCAGGAGGAAGTCGACGTTCAGCAGCATCTTGAAGGTAGATCGAGCGATTAGGGTCTAACCCGCGTGAAAAATCGTTACCGAAACGCCGGACGACGGCATTCATGGCGAAAACAGGAGCTTATTTATTCAACGGCCCTTTGCAACAGGAACTAATGAAATTACTCCGAGGCCGTCGGCCGTCAGGAGTTTACCGACTAATTAATTGGCATTGATGCAGCCAATTCCATTGAAACGCCGCAGAGTGGATAAAAGTGACCAAGTTTCGGTTAAAATCGTTGAGCTTTCGATACAAAGGACGCGGAACGATGAATCTTGAATTAAAGGACAAAGCCTTTCGAATTTGATTTATAACCAAAGTTTTACACAAGTGCTAGTTTTTAATCGACTAAATTTGTTTTTTTTTTAAACATCTTTCTGTATCTTCGTTTCCCACCTGCATCGCGGGTTATAAAGCCATGCTTTTCGTTTCTCCGTCACTGTTTTCCCCGCTCCATCTTTTTCCTTCTATTTTTCTCGCCCCTCGCTTTGTCCATCAATGCACCGATTGAATTTCTACGGCTAAAACGCGACCGTACTAACTTAATGGCGCTTTCAAACCGTGATGCACTTGATCCAGTTTAATTTTCTCAGCCCTGGGTAATTGTCCCGATTTTTTAATGGCAAAATTATTGCGCCCGGGGGTTTTTTAACGGCGCGGCACGCGGCTTTATATTTTTATCATTCCCGTCGTTGGTTAATACGACGACGTGCACGGCCGCCGCCGTCGTTATTTTTTTTTTTTTTATTACGTGCCTGTTTTTAAAGAGGGACGCGACTTTTCTCCTCTCTTTTTTCCTTTTGTTTGTTTATTTTTTTTTTAATCAACAATTTCGCGTACACGAAAATCGCGGGATGAAAAAGTCCGTCGATGTACGGAAATTCATTTCATTCATTCTTTTGAACGAATCGGTTTTGTAATGTACTTTATTTGGCTGCGTTCGATGTTGAAATTTCAAAGGACCTTTTCAAAGGCTATTTGTATACCGCGGGAGTTGAATTTCATTGCATTACGATGTTTAAAAGGCATGCCCGTATTCAGTGCCGAGTTTTTAAAATCACCGAATCGATCATGCATAGTCTGAATTACACGGATCGGCGATAAGTACAGGCGGACTGGGATATTAAGTACGAGTCGAATGTGACATGATTAACGCCCGGAGATCGAAACAAGCAGATTAGTAGACGAGACGAGAGTATTTTCCAGACCTCGCATATCTCCGCGGATTAAACGCGTGTTGCAAGAACGGATACAAAATTTATTGAAGCTTGTGAAATCAAGAATGATTGACAAAAAAAAATAAAAATATTTCTGAGACGTCAGCTAATTATAATAAAAAATATTTTGATTCGTTTAAGCGAATTATCTCGTACGGTGTAATTTTCAGAGTCGAAAGTTGTTCCTCGGTCGATTTCGGAAAATGAAGAGCTCTCCAGACTCGACGCACCGATCGTGCCACTTACGTCGAAAATGAATCTATGATAGTGAGTTCACGTTATTCCCCTCCGTAATCGGTGAATTTTAGTCCACTGGTAACACGCCACGATATTCCATTCTAACGATCTCGGCTAATTAAGTTGTCCTTCAATCTACGCGGATATTATTATAAAAGGGATTAAACATCGTTTTAACGGGCAGAATGCCGTCCCGACGCGACGACTTGGACGATTTCGTTTGCGTCTCGTCGTAGGGGATGAGGGTGCAATCTTCCCTCGCGCAGCCTCACCTATGGTAATATCTCATTAAGAACGAATTTACATTTACTCTTTTGTGTTTTTCTTGCTCGCGTCGACGACTCGTTCCCGCTAAATGCGACTAAATTATACCGCAAATGACCACGATTGTCGAAAACTGACGCGACCAGCGATCAAAATTCGAGGCAGCCGTATAAAAGACGCGTCGAAACGAACCTTTCGACCTTTTTTCTTCGTTAGGCACCTTTTCTTCTCGAACACGCGCACGCAACTGAAGCTTTCCGCAGCTCTGTTTCATCCTATACGATCATTAATAACGACTTCATTATCCGACGAATTAAAGTGACAATGCGGACGGAAATTATTTACTGCGAAAATAAACTGTATTTTACTCGAAAATAATTGTAAAGATTTGTCCAATGTTCTTTGAAAATCTCGAGTTACTTTATTTCTATCAAGACGGTCAATTTTTATTCCAGCAAAAGTTTATGAAAAATCTAATAAGCTTTATGTTACATATGAATGAGCTGTACACATTAATTAATATAATTTTCCAGAATTTCCAAGCACGTACATTTAATCTATTTACAATTAATTATTTGCCATTTAAAATTTAATTCACCTAATACCAAACTGAATTATATACTCGATTAATGTTGATACATTAGTTATAGATCCATGGAAATTCTATTTAAATTATACACCGAACAAATCATGTATAATTTCAAATTAATTTCATATATGCGTAACATAATGATTAAAACTGAATGGCAGATCGTCAAGGAAATTGCAATAATTTTGGAAAATGTTCGCTTTACCATTTTCGTTTCGCTGTTAAAATCCCACGTAAAAGGGGAAAAAATGGATTCGCGATGGTCTTTCTGCGAGAAAATAACTAACTTTTACGTAAAGGAACTCGCAATAAATAGATTATGTTAATGTCGAGTTGTACAGACGAAGAATCTCATGCAAATTACGTTTAACTGAAATGTCATTAAGGGAATCACCTTGGCTCCTTGCATAATTTTAATGGGAACCGCCGGGGGCATATGGCAATTTTTCGAGGATTGAATGAGATAAAAGGGTC